GATCAACTATGCAAAAGAAAGTATCGGGAAACATCCCAACTTCAGCAGGCCATTGCAGGACATCTTGTTCTGTTTTTAGTAGAGGAAAGGAAAGAAGGGGGGAGAGGGGGAGTTTCATAATCTAATGGGGAGCGGAGACGGCAGGAGGAAGAGGAGCAGCTATCGCCGTAAGGGAATTATATGGCTTTTAGATGATTTAGAGTTTCCTTTTTATGATATTTTGGGACAATCAGATCTTGTGTTAAAATTGTTTACAGCACACTTGTAAATCTTGTACCCTGTATTTTCAGAATACGTATATACAGCACAAACTCATCCCACCGTCATTATCCTGAGAGGATTATTATCACAGCAGTTATAAGATCTGAACATTTTTTAAATGAGCTGAATCTACATCTGTCCTATAAGCCATCCTCTGAAGGAACTCCGGTCATAAATTACATCCAGCTCCTCCGGTCACAAAACACAGCAGAATTAAGCAACACATACTTTAATGGAGCGACGAGAGACAGATTAATATTGCAAAATTTATGTCTGGGGTTGATAAAGCACGTCTGAAAGGGGCTGTAACTATTTCTGAAACTGCATGAATTAGTTGGACTGCTTCAAAAAACAGTAAAAGAAGATGTCAGGCTGATATCTACTTTATATTCTTTACAGTTGGGAGAAATTTCTGTCTTTGATGTCAGAATTTCCACGGCGGGATTATTGATTCCCTTTAACTCCAGCTGTGGACGGCGTGCGGGGGGAGGAGCCCTGAATGAAAAAACGAAGAACTTCTGAATGCATACGACACAATCTCCTCTTTCCAGATTAGACACGCAGAGCTCGGGATCACGTTCCTCATTAGGAGCGGCTTTCGCCCATCAGAATCGGTGTTTTTCTGACCGCTCTGAGTGAGTGAGTTCACAGCAGCAGATCAATAAACACCTCTTTTTATTATGTGAAACAAACACACCCAGCAGGCCATTATTCCGTCCCTCAGTGTGATAGTAAAAATACATCATAAACATCTTCCAACTGGCCTCATGCCTCAGAATCGATTATAGCTTTATTGATACCGACTGTGCCATGTCATAGCGACGGAAGAATATGAGGCATATTAGGCTTACACTATCTTCCATCTGTTCCTAAAACACTGACCTTGACTTCCACACAAACAATAAAAACCAATTATATCAGACTTAAATTAGTCATGGTATTGATCCCAGAGAAAACATTGATGATTTTGTGCCATTCATGTGTGGAAAGTGTTGACTGTTTCTCCCCTGTGAGATCAATATTCATTACTTGTCAGTTCTGAGCTTAATTATGAAGACTCATAATTAATGCTTTGCTTTGTATGATGAATAGCTATCATTGTGGCTGATGGCGCCTGGTGCCTGCAGGGACAACAGCTTGCAATATCACTTCTCTTCTGAGCTCTAGGCTAGTTCACACCCCGTGACCCTGCGCCTTAAGAGCGTTTTCTGCCTCTGCAGGCCGCTAATCGATGGGCTAAATTGTCTTATACATAAGAGATGATGCAGCAGGACGTGAAGGTGATGCATCGTGAGAGCGAGCGCGTCGATGAAACCCTGATGTTTCTTTTTCCATTCGCTTCACATGCACACGTTTGTAATTGCTAGGACTGAGCTGCAGAGTAGTGAGGAGTTTTTAGTCATCCGGAGAACTTCAAAGGTTAGGATTGACTCAACACTTCTTTAATTATATGTTTGGAATATCTTCTGAATGAAGTGGGTTTGGAAAATCGTGGTTTTCATTACTCACTGGAGGTGTTGCTGAGCTTTAATGGGCTGTTTGGGGTCTTAGAGGAGGGAGTGCTTATAGAGATTTTCTGGGTTGCAATTATGTGACTGAAATCCTCTGTGGTTGGAATCATCAGAACACTCCAGTTTGTCCTTATTTTGATTAAAGACCTGCAGTTTGGACATCAAAAGTACAGAGTGACTTATTTTGGATACTTAAGCTTTCATCACTTCTATATTTGACAGCCTGGTGTGAGCATTTTTAAACAAGTCGAACTTTGAGCCCCGAGATCTCGACCTCCATTGACACCAGTTATGTTAATAAATTTAGGCGACAGAGGGCATGTTTAAGTTTTAAAGAGTATTTAAAAGAGTCGTAAGTCATTGCCTAATTCTCAGTCCATTTTATAAATAGTTCATGAGTTCGTTTTGGTAACTGATGACTTGTCAAAACAAAATCATCATTGGCAGCAGCTCTTGCATGGTAGAAATTTTGAGGACCCTGAGGGTAGATACTTTTTTTTAACTGTGCACTTTAAGAATTGAGGCAAAATACTGAGAATAAAGTCAGAATTTTAACAGATTGAATTCATTTTTGAGAAAATGTCAAAAAAAAATTTAGAGAAGAAAAATCAATGATTGTCAAGTGGAAAAAATCGCAGTTCTGCAAAACACATTTTCTTCATTTCTGTGTCCAACTAAAGTAGATTTATTAGTATTTTTTCAGATATCTATGTCGTTGTACAGAAAGGAGGAAATGGATGGAGTTTATCGTTTCACTGACGCCCTAAAGCAACTAAAAGTAAACTTCTATTCAGCTTCCTGAAGTTGTAAGGCCCACTCTGATCGTTTTTTTTTTTTTCCTATTTAAAGCGGTCTCAGTGGTCTTTAAGTTGTGATTATGAAGTTTTTAGCAAAAATCACACGACCTGTTTCATTTTCAAGGCTTTTCTTCTGCAGAGCTCCAGTAGCTCATTAGCCATTCACCTCTGAGTCGTGGGCGGAGTCAGCGCTGCTCTGCACACTCCTCTTCATGCTAGCTTGCAGCCTAACATTGCCAAGCAGCAGAAGTGGCAGGTAATATAGGAACTATTCAGCTCTTTGACACTAATGTCTTCAGGGGCATATAGAAAGCTAATATTATTATTAGCGGGTCGCAGGGGGCGGAGCTTGGACTTGTGATGTAGGAAATCTTACTGTGTCTGAACCTGCCGTTTGGGTCAGTGAGAGATTCACAGCAATTTGAATGCGGAAATACTTGTATTTATATTTCACATTGATGTTTCTCATGACATGTCCTGTAGCATTAAAAAAAATGAAATGCCATATGAACATTTAGACAACAAGAAAAACAAGATTTTTATCGGAGTGGGTCAAGAATCGGTAAACATATCAGATATCAGACATATCAGAAACATAAGCGTTGCAGTCAGATAGTTAAGGTGTAAATGATCACAGCTCAAACACAGGATGTTAACCAGCTGCTCAGTCTAGAAAAATGAGCAAAGTCTTAATATCAGTGGAGCTAAAAACCAAACAGAAAGACTTAATAGAGGGAACTTTAGTTAGAGAATGAAAAGTATTGGTAGAAGCTGCGATAGTGTCTTATGCCAGTTTAAAGCAGCATTCTTAAAGCTCCAATGAGGAACTGTTGGTTTGTGTCAACTTTGGCGCCCCCTGTGGACAAAGCAGTGTCTCTTTTCTTGTCCTTCTGTAGCTTATGTAGTGTCCAATGTCATATTTATGATTTAGTTAGAGTTTTATATGGAAATTGTAAAATAAGAGCTGTCTCCTCAGCTGCTAACGCCAATTTTTAGACATTATGAATCACAAGATAAAAATAATCAGATTAGTTGCCGATGATTTTGTTTGCCTTTCGTTAAAAAGAGGAGATTTAGGAATAAGAAAATACTTTTATTTCTCCCCGAAGGGAAATTTAATTACCTGTAGTCTCATTTGTCGTGTCTCAAAAGTCGTCTTCTATAAATAGTAGATGACTTTTTGAGACAGGATAAATGAGACTACAGAATTGATTTTTCCTTCGGGAATGAATAAAGTTATTCTTGTTCTTTTTCTTAAATCATTCTCCCCTCACCCTGAGCTTTAACACTCCTCTGTACTTTAGAGAAACACAGATTTAGGATGGAGGGTGAAGATACCGCCTTAATATTCTTCCTGTTTGAGTTTCATCAAGAGTTGGAAGCACAAAGAAAATCATGTAGCCTCTCCCTGCTGTGTCTCTTGGCTAAGTATTTGTCAGAGTGTAAATTTTTGATGGGTAAACAAAGTAAAGGGGTGACATGGGACCAGCCCTGGCGGGTCTCAGGTGTGTCATGCTATCCTCTGATCCCTCTGCTTTAACATTTGACTCTAGACTCCTGTAGCTCCGGCGCGCAGACCAGAGCCTCTTTAAGTTTTTGAGTCAACACGTCTAAAGCTCTTTGCCGGCGAGTCCCGACGGCGAGCTTCATCTGGGATTTTCCCCTGGAGAATTCTGGACTTCAAATAAACTCTGACAGTTGGGTTTACAGTATCCCCTCGTCTTCAGTGAGTTATCAGTCACCATCAGCTGCCCCTGGGGGCCAGTGGGGTGTGGAGGTTTTATTGGAAATGTGTGTGTGCGTGTGTGTGTGTATAAGTGAGTGTGTGTGTTTATTGACACCCAGCAAAAGGACAGAAACACCCCCGGGTTAAAAGAGGATGTAGCACTCTCTGATTTATTTTCATTTCTGGACCGTTTCTCAAAGGAGCACCTTACAAACCCTCAGATTCATTTACAAAGACATACACACATGCTGCACTGTAAACACACACTTACACACACACAAACACACACACAGACAGAGCAGCCTCACCCAAATCCGAGGATTAAAACCTTCTGTTTGGTCGAAAATTAAACATGTGTGCTTTCCTGCTTGTGTGTGAGTGTGTGAGTGTGTGTTATTAGTGCATGATGAGAGTGAGGGAGAGGATTTTTTGGCAGTGTGCTGAGCGGAGAGAAGGTTCAAAGCTGTGTGTTTTTTTTCTTCTTCTGCATCTCCCTGCTTCAGCATGTGCACCACCAATGACCTCAATTAGCTCTGCGTCTGATAGACACACACAGAGCATCCTCGGATCACACACACACACACATACACACACACACACACACACATACATAACACACAAACACTAGAAAATACCGCTATGTAGTGTAAAGAGAGGGGAGGCGACAGCGATGACGGGATTAGAGGGAGACGACAGTTTGGATTCATGTTTGTGTACTTCTCTGTTTCATCATTAAAGATAAACCTTCATGCTCCTGCTACCAGGAGGAAGAGGAGTGTGACAGGGAGCGAGGGAGTGACAGACAACGAGAGTGACAGAGAATCACAGAGAGAAAGAGAGAGAGAGAGGAGAAGAGGAGTCAGGGATGGATCAAAGAGAGGCTGTAACAGAAGGAAGAGAGGAGGACAGAGGAGAGAGAAAGAGGAAAAAAGGAGATTCAGTTCAAAGAAACTGCGAAAAGAAGGAAGAATAGCACAGGGAGAGAAGATGGAAAAAGACTTAAAAGGAGGAAAAATGAGTGAAGAAATGATAGAAGAGGAAGGAGAAAACCCCAAAGTAAGGAAATGAGAATATGAAAAGCAGAAAAAATTGGAAGAGGAGGAAGTGGTCCGTGCACAGATGTAGACAGAGGAGGCAGGGATCCGTCAAACGGCAGGCTCGCTGAGAAACAGCGCTCTGACCTTCATAGGACAAGCAGCGAGCACTGACGAGAATTTATGCGCGCTCTCACTTTGTATTATTGGCTCAGTGTGTGTGTGCGCGTTTTAAGGCCACGTATGGACACATGTGCGCCTCGTTGTGTGGGCGCAGCGTGAAAAAGGTAAAGATTGAAGGGTCTTTCCCTCCGTCATACACATCCTCTCTTTCGCTGGCTCGCTCCCCGTGCTCCCTAGGAACTCCATTAGACCTTGCTCTGCGTTATCTTATCCTGGAAAAAAAAGCCAAACCGCCTGCGGTTTCAGAGCAATTATTGTACACCATATCTCTGGAGGTGTTACAAATTAAACATGGCGTGGGTCGAGCACGTTTTGCTTTAAGCAAACCATCATACTGTATCAACCGAGTGTCTCACACGGTACGATAAGCCCTCTGTCTCCAATGGTTGGCGTGCGGGTTGTAGAAATGTTTTAATTGGTAGCTGGAGTTGAAAGGTTGACAGCACCTGAGGGTGAGGATATAAGAAAAGGTCATCTTTTAATGTTTATACAGTCATAAAAACCCCAATAAGGACAAATCACCGACAGGAGATCCAGTTAAAGTGGACAGAGTGTGAGGCTTCAGAGGCTTCAGGAAAATGTTAGTGAATGAAAACGCTCTCTTACTTTAAAACCTCTGGAGCAGTCAGTGGAAAAATGATTGAATTTCTCATCTGAAGGTAAAGCAGCTGAATTAATTGTGATCTAGTGGCTGTTTTACTTCCTATTACTACAAGAACCAATGAGGACCTGAGCTGCTCAGTGATTCCCTGAGTGGTCCGAACTGTGATTTAAACCGCCAAGGTATTAACGGGAATGGGAAACATCATCCAAACTTGCTATGGCGGCAGTAAAAAAAAAAAAAGCCATGGCTGGATTAAAAGAAGCTTTTCTCCGCATAAACAAGTCCTCCACTTGTTGATAAAGCTTATCAGGCGCAGAAAGATCACAAGTGAAGAGACAAATCCCTCCAGATATTTTGGTAAACTCAACATGCACAATTGGTCAGGGGATGTGAATACTCATTTCTCTGTTTATTAAATTCTCCGCATGCTCTTATTTTACGTCGTTAATTTGAACCCAGTCGATACGAGTTCTTTCTCGCTTACTCAGCTCATTTGCAGAATGTTTTCAATGAGTTTCGAAGGTTTATGGAGAGATACTTTACAGCCAAACATTACATAACTGAATTAAATGCAGCCCATGGGGGATGAATACAGATGAAGTGGGGGAGACACATTTGAGATGCTTTCCGCACCGCTGCTGTACTTACGGGGGAATACTGTAACCTAAACAAATTGCTTCCTTGTAGCTCTCCTGCAGCACTAATGCGGGGTGGCTGCACGCAAGGCGGGATTTCGACAATAGCCAACACTGCAGGTTCATTTTCAGTGGATTGAATAAATATATCTGCTGTGCAGCTCAAAATGTCACAGGCCTTAAATGAATGCATACACACAGGGCCAAAAGTTTGCAGACTCTGCTCTTTCGGTGTTTATCCCTTCACTGGTATCTTCCCTCATCTGGGTCTGTGCACAGCTATGAGGTTTATTTTTCATATAAACACTAGAAACTACTGCTCTAATGAAAAGATTTACTCAGGGATGACACCCGTCCCCATATTCATGCTTTTTCAACAAGTTACAAACTCAGAGCCTGAGCAAGAGCTAGAGCAACCTGTTGAAGCAAGAGATCGCTGCTGCTGGGCTGGACTGTACACTCTACCTCCCCCTTTGTCTTACTTTCATGATAACAGAGAGAGAAAACAGAGAGAGGAGTCTGTAAAGAGATGTTCGAAGGAGGATAGGGAAAGGTAGAGCAGCCTGTTTGGGTAAAGATTCACCTCTACCAGGCTAGACTGTACGCTATACCTTCCCCTTTGTCTTACTTTCATGATGACAGAGAGAGAAAACAGAGAGAAGAGTCAGGATGGGGAAGGTAGGGCAGTCTGTTTGGGTAAAGATTCACCTCTACCAGGCTAGACTGTATGCACCACCTTTCCCTTTGTCTTTTTTCATAATAACAGAGAGAAAAATCTGTGGGGAGATATAAGAAGGAAAAGGGGGAAGGTAAAGCAGCCTGTTTGTGTAAACATTCACTTCTACCAGGCTAAAGTGTGCGCTATAAATTCCCTTTTGTCTTACTTTCATGATAACGGAGAGAGAAAACTGAGTCTGTGGAGAGGTGTGAGGAAGAGGAAGGTAGAGCAGCCTGTTTGGGTAAAGATTCACCTCTACCAGGCTAGATTGTACGCTACACCTTCCCCTTTGCCTTATTTTCATGATAACAAGGAGATAAAAAAGGGAGAAAAGTCTGTAAAGAGATGTGAGGAATAGAAAGGGGAAGGTAGAGCAGCCTGTTTGGGTAAAGATTCACCTCTACCAGGCTAGATTGTACGCTACACCTTCCCCTTTGCCTTATTTTCATGATAACAAGGAGATAAAAAAGGGAGAAAAGTCTGTGGAGAGATGTGAGGAAGAGAAAGGGGAAGGTAGAGCAGCCTGTTTGGGTAAAGATTCACCTTTACCAGGCTAGACTGTATGCTCTACCTTCCCCTTTGTCTTATTTTCATGATAACAGAGAGAGAAAAACGAAAGTCTATAGAGAGATGTTAGCAAAAGGACTAGAAAGGTAGAGCCAGGATGAGAAGCCTGTTTGGATAAAGATTCGCCTCTACCAGGCTCAGCTGTACGCTCTACCCTCCCCTTTTTTCTCTGTTTTGGTGAGAGAAGGGAATAAAGAGAGAAAAGCTTGTAGATGGGTGTTAGCAAGAGGACAAGGCAGCTAAAGCCAGATCAGGATACCTGCTTGGACGCTCTACCTCTCCTCTACTCCCTCACTTCAATAGTAGAAGAAAATAAAGAGATATTAGAAAGAGGAGACGGAGGACTTAGCCTGGACTTGAGATCAACCTAGCTGGGGTGGTCTGTTGATTCTACCTACCCCCATGTCCTGACGTCAATCAGAACTCTGTCCACAGTGAGATAACTGCTTTCGCCACCGGCCCTGTAAATCCTGCTCTAACTGGTCAAACCCTAACTCTCCACCCTTCTCTAGTATCATAGCTAAGCACTTGTGTCTCTGTGTGTGCGTGCATGTGATTTATGGTGTGATTGCAAGAATATCCCACCAGCAATCTGGCTACATGGGAAGCATCTGCATCAATGACAGCACCTGTAGTGCAAGCCAACAGTGCAGAAGGCTTTCCAAGAGCTTGGCGAGAGAGAGAGGGGGGAATTATCACAAACACAGACTGATAGCTTCTGATGTGTGTCCATGAAGCCAGTTGGAAATAGCCACACCCCATCATGGGATTTTAAACTCAAGTACAACATGTCTCACTTCTTTTTAACCCCTGAAATTACAGACAAATACCTGCTGGTTTCACACAAAAACTCTGACACCTGCAGACAGGCAGCAGCAGGGTTTAAAAAGTACAAACCAAAACAAGCCCGGGGCTGTTTTCCAACATGTGATTAGCGCTGACTTCTCAAGTTAAACTGGCACACATGCACACAGACATTCGGGTAAGTCAGAGAGGTCTTCTGCCCTGTGGTCGTCCTTGGCCAATATCATCACAGAGAGAATCAATAGAGCCATCGCTCAGAGTGAACAGAGAGAAGAGAGAGAGAGAATATAGGGGTAGAAGGGGGGGAATAATAGATGTGAGGTGGGAGGGGAGGAGGGAGGAGTACTTAAGGGGGAGAAATGAAAAAGTGAGTAAAAGACTATCATTAGAAGCAATGAGAGCAGGAGAGTATCACAGAGGAGAAGTGGCACAAGGAGCTGGCATCAGTGTTTAAGACGACGGAGTACAAAAGAAAGCCGTCGTCAAAGTGACAAGGATGGATGACGGAAGCTGGTGAAAGTGGAACAGATGGAGAAGAAGGGAAGAAAATGTAGAGGGAGAGAGAAAGAAAGAATGAGTGACAGGAAAATGAGCTGGTGAGGACAGAGGGTACTGGGTTTGTTACTGGTGGAAAAAAAGTTAAAAGGGATGAAAGTAAGGGACAGAGTGATTAAGTGTTTGACTGAACCGATGATTAAGAGGAACAAAGAGTGACCCTGCCTTCAAGTTTTGACAGATTTATGCTCTATTGTACATGAATGACACTCTATTATGTCTCTGGATCAAATTGTGATGTAATTGCTCTTGTCAACATGTCGACCAGAGAGGGGGCGTTCGCTTGAGCAGTAATAAAATCCACCCAATAAAGCTGAAGGTGAAACACAGCTAAAAGTTGAACACCAACAGAGGGCATCCACTGATAGCTGGAGTCATAAAACGTTCAATTCTCGACGTTATTATGGATTTTTAAAGCTTCACTTGTCGTTAGCTTTATATAACAAATGATGAAATGATGGGAAAGGGATCTCTTCAGGTGACAGTAACACTTGTTTGCTTTAACCGATTCTGCAATTCGGGCTCTTCGGGGCATTTCAGCATCTTCCCCCCCCTCTGAGTCAGGAAGCTTTTTTCTTTGGGTGGCTGTTTAGTTTAGCCATGAAAGCATGTGCCCCACACACTGACGTGAAAGTCACCAGCTGCCACTGGCTCAACCTGGCCTTGGCACTTTGTTGCGTATCAGCCGCTACTCTCTGCTCCTCATTTTTCCTATCTCGCTCCAGCTGTCCTATCTGATAAAGGCAAAGCATGCCCCAAAAAGCAGCTTGGGGAAAAGTCCCTCCAACACTGCTTTGCAGGCAGTAAAAGTTAGCATCTGTATTTAGGATACTTTCACACCTGCAGTTTGTTTGCTTCGCTCTCATTTAAATGATAAAACGATACTTAGGTGCATTTTCCCCTGGGTGTTTTTGTGTCCACACTGCAATATTGTAAAGCAGGCCAAGTACACACCATCACAGGGCAGTCCTTAAGTCATTAAACCACAGCCATGAGTATAGGGATGGGAACTGTTAAGAATTTAGCGATTCCGATTCCATCATCACGTCTGCTTATTGATACGATTCCTTATCGATTCTCATTGAGTGAGAAATAAGACACTGAAAATGGGTTTGTTTACATTAACTCTTAAATATTGTCACCTTCGGACAGAAGATAGGACATATCCATGCTCTGATAATTTATTATGTGACCAACCCTTTGACCACAAATCTGGTCACAGCTCGGCGACATTCGTTTATCTTTGCCTCTGTCATTTTACTCTTCCCTGCCTTCGATGAAAGGGGTCGCCAAAGGTGTGCCAGAGCTGCCCGCTGCAGCCTCTGAGCTAGCATGACTCTGGCAGTCATCGTCATCTAAATGTAATTTAAGGAGATGAAGAGAATTTAAATAGTGAAAGGTGGTTAACATGGCGCTAACATCTGCACAACATACAGGACCTGGAGGAGTTAAACGTTACCCTCAGCATTTAAAGCAGATGACGGC